CTGGCTCCCTCCAAATTGTTTTGCAATCTTTTATTTAAATCCCTTAGATCTTCCATCTCTGCTTCCGCTTTGATCTTACTAGTGCTGTTCCGGATCTTTTTCTCTAGCTTCGAATTTACACTTTGTAAACCCGCAATTTTTTTTTTGAGGATATCCATCTTCTCCACTAGAGCTATGTTTTTGTTGTTCAATTCGTGTAGTTGCTTGTTTAATCCAATGTTTTTTATTTCCTCGTAATTTAGTTTATCTTTAATTATCTCAATCTGCTCGTCCTTTTCCATTTTTAGTACTTCCATTTGTTCTTTATATCGCTCTATGCATGCTTTACGCTCCGTCTCCTGTTCCTTTAATATTTCATAATCCGGTAAAATGGTATCAAGCTTAGTCTTGTATTCGGATGCAACGTCGCATTTCTTTTTTAGAAGCGCTGAAATCTCGTCGATTCGAGACGTCTTTTGCTGTACCTCACAATTCACGTTTTTGTGGACTTCTACGAGCTGTTCCATCTTAAGGTTCAATTTATTTATGGTCTGATTGCTCGCCTTCAGTTCCAACGCGTTCGCCTCAATAATATTCTTCAACTGCTTTTCGTTAGCTTCGAGTCCTTCGATATTACTTTTCAGCTCCTGATTTTTTGTCTTGTAAGTTTCTATGGCGTACACAAGATCCTCTATTCTCTTCTCATAAGTCTCTTTCTGGGAGTTTACTTTCTTTTGAAATTCAGTTTCTCTCTTTCTACACTCTTCTTGTATTACCTTTTCTTTCTTCTGAGCAATTACAATTGCTTCCTCCCGTCGACAAACCAGTTTGCATTGCCTATCGAATTCATTTTGCAAGTTGTTTAAATCAGTTTTCAATGTCTCCATCTTTTCTTTAAGCGTTTCTTTCTCGGAATTGTTCTCCTTTAAAAGATGTTCCAGCTCGTAGATTCTGTTCTGTTGTAGTATGTGGGCAGATTCGCGTTTTGTCAAGTCAATCTGTAATTTTTCAGTTTCCCTTTCTAATTCATTAGCCCACAACATCGCGCGTTTCTCCGCATCAGCACTCTGCCTTTTCTCGTCTTCCAGGTTTTGTTTGTCTTGTTCGAATGAGTCTCTCATAGTTTTAATGAGCTCCTCTTCCTTAGCCATGAGAGTCTGTAGAAAGATAATGAAAATTTCGTTTGCAGTTTTACTCAACAAGTCGACCGAATTCAATTTATGTTTAAACGACTTCAATTCCTTGATCATGGATCCCCTGACTGTGTTTAATTCATCCTTCAATTTCTTATTATCAATAGCTAACGTGTTCTCCTCTCCA